GCTGCGATTCATGGGGTCGCAGAGTCGGACACGACTGAGCGGCTGAACTGAGTTCATGTAGTTATCCTTTTATAGTAATAGGTTATTTCATCATACATTTTCATCATTCCCCAGTAATTAGATTCTTTTCCAGCCTAATTAAAAAGCTCTAAACATCTTGGCAGAAATATTTTATTTTTAGATGGTAGGGGAGCTATATTACTGAATGGTGTTATCATGGTCAAAAGACATAATTCATTGAACATTCTTCTTGCCTACTTTTAGCTTATTATCAAAGATTATATTATTTAACAGTGCTCACACAATCTAAGGACATATTCAGCTCCTCACCAGTGCCTCATCAGCGTTTGGTTTTATCATTCTTATCTATTTACGTTAATTTAATAAATATGAAGTATTATCTCTCCTTCCGTTTTTTTTTAATTATAAGAGAAACACATAATTTTTGTAGAACACTTAGAAATACAAAATATGGGAGTTCCCTGGTGGTCTAGTGGTTAGGATTTGAGGCTTTCACTGCCATGGCCCACGTTCACTCTAGTTGGAAACTAGAACCCACAAGCTACGTGGCATGGTCAAAAAAAAAAAAAAACTATATATATATATATATATAGAGAGAGAGAGAGAGAGAGAGAGTAATCCCTCTGGAGACAAGTGTTCCTTCTATGTGTAGCTTTTACTTAAATGAGCTATTTTTTTTCTACTAGAGCTCTTGAAGAAGGAAGTGTTTATCTCTCAGTATTTTGAGAAATTAAGGCCAGGTTTTGTCTACACCCTATAATCTCCATGCATAGTTCCCATTTTTCCCTAAAAGGCATCCATCTTCCACCATTGACTTTGGAAGGATGAGAGAGTCTGAGGGAAGGTCAGAGTTGAAAGGCTGAAGGAAGTAGCTCTCAATAAAGTGTTGAGAATCAACTTTTAAAGAGAATTTTTCCTGAAAATGGGGGTACCCAGGACAGGAAATCCTGCTTTTTATTTGACATTTGGGACCTAACTTACTTTATTTCTAAAGAAAACTCCAGAGGAAACAAATTCTACAGACTACTGGCTAAAAGCCCCAGACTCTTATTTTCTTATTGGTAAATGTGGATGCATTTGGTTTGTAGATTCAAAGAAAATATTTAAGGGGTGGTCACACTAATGAGAGTTACTGCAGTCACCTGACAGGAAGGAGGACTTGTAGGGTGGGGTGAGGCCAAGACTGAGGAAATTCCAGAAAGTCTTAAAGTGTTTTACCTTTTCTCGCTTCTCTTAACGGAGTATGATAATTAAGGCTCCCTCAGGCATGTGAATAAAACAGAGTGAAATGTGATAAAAATGTGTTACAGAAGAGTATTTCACTATCAGAATTCCTGTGTGTATGTTCCTCAACTTTCCTTGAGAAATATTGGAGGAAACTCCTCCTCCTTCCTGAACCTCAGGCTACCACTTGTAAAATGAAGATCATAAGTTAATAGTAAATGCATTTGAGATCTTGGGGTTTGGGTTTTTAAGTGTAGTTGATTTGCAATATTGTGTTCATTTCAGATATAGAGATCTCGTCATTCTTGATATTTGAGTGGGTTGGAGGTGGAAAGATATTGAAAGAAATGCTTAGTGCTTCACCCAGGAGCTCATTAAAAGCCATCTCATTGGACTTCCCTGGTCGTCCAGGGGTTAAGACTCCATGCTTCCAATGCAGGGGGTGCAGGTTCTATCCCTGGTCAGAGAACTAAGATCCCACATGCTGCTTGGCCAAAAAAAAATTTTTTTAATTTTAAAAAGCCATCTTATCTCCAAGCTGTATTCCTCCTCAGAACTGGTGTCAGTATAACTTTGATTTCCAGAGACATTTCTCTATTTTTCTCTAAGAGCAAATGACTTTGCATATTCACTTTTTTAGTAGTTGAAAGAAAATAATTCAGAGTATTGATATCCTCATGAACAAGTAGCTTTTGAGAGTAAGGGAGGAGAAAGGCTCTTACTTTATTTAACCCAAGGATTTAAATAAAAATGTAGCAAAGATGGGAGATTTTTTGCATCTAAAACCAAAGAACCTAACCCAGCATGTATGCTGGTTCTAAATGGTCTTGCTCTCAATAACACTAGTGTCAGAACTTCCCACATTGCCACAAGCACAGACAGAAGACTGAACTCCTAGCAGGCCGCAACATGTAACACATACTCTTGGAACTAGGCTTGAACTTTACCTTTGACAGAATGTAAATATTTGAAATATCGCTCCACTGTTAAGAACGCAAAACCTGTTCCTTTTTGTTTTTGTTTTTTTTAAAGTATATTTCCAAGCTCTCTCCCTTTTTGAGCCCTGAAAATTTTCGTTTTTATAATGACCATCTTACAGTGCAGCAGCATTTGGAATAAATCTTTGAAATTTCCTTTACTCTAACTCTCTGCAAATGAAAAATGTTTTAAAAACAAAAAGATGTGGGTGAAGGGTATTCTGCCAAACTTATCTTTTCCCTTTGGCTGATGACCTTCATTTCCAAATGGTGGGCTGCTCCGAGAACAAGAATGTTTGCATCATAGGAGTCATGTGGATGTGACTGATGGTGCTGCTGACCTGAGTACGATGTGGCAAGGTTAGAGTTGCTGTTGCCTTTTAAAAAAAAATAGGTTCAACAAATAATATACATGGCAAAGCTGACTGGAGGTGAAGTACATTAAGTGTATATTAAATTTGCAAGAAACAATATTCTTTTTCTTAAAATAATGAATTAATTTTATTTTTGGCTGCACTGGTCTTTGTTGCTACCCATGGCTTTCTTTAGTTCCAGCAAGCGGGGGCTACTCTTCCTTGCCACGTGCTGGCTTCTCTTGTTGCAGAGCACAGGTTCTAGGCGTGTGAGCTCAGTTGTTGTGGTTCATGAGGCTTAGTTGTTTCATGGCATGTGGGATCTTCCCAGACCAGGAATCGAACCCATGTCCCCTGCATTGGTAGGCAGATTCTTAACCACTAGACCATTATGGAAGTCGCAAGAAGAGAGAGTCTTATTGGTAGGACATAAGCAAACCAAATCTTTGGCTCTGATTTCTGACATGGCATACTTCCTGTCTCCAAGGGGGAGCTGCTGCTGCTGCTAAGTCGCTTCAGTCGTGTCTAACTCTGTGCGACCCCATAGACGGCAGCCCACCAGGCTCCCCCGTCCTTGGGATTCTCCAGGCAAGAACACTGGAGTGGGTTGTCATTTCCTTCTCCAATGCATGAAAGTGAAAAGTGAAAGCAAAGTCGCTCAGTTGTGTCCGACTCTTAGCGACCCCATGGACTGCAGCCTTCCAGGCTCCTCCATCCATGGGATTTTGCAGGCAAGAGTACTGGAGTGGGGTGCCATTGCCCTCTCCACCAAGGGAGAGCAGGGGGACTTGGAAAAGGGATAGTTCACTGTCTTAAACTTTATTGTTGTTTGATTAGTCCACTGAACTTCAAGGTTTAATAATTATTTACTAATGTTGAATTCAAAAGGATGTTAAATGTTTTACTCTTGTCTCCTGTCATATTGGATTTCAGATATCTTTCCCACATCAAGTTATCTGGAAATAAATTGAGATTTCAATGATAGGAATCTGCTCAAAGGCTCTCATTGCAAGCTGAATAAACATAACATACTCTCTGTGTATTATGTCTAGGAACATCCTTTGACACTCAGGATTTCTCTTGAGTTACTTTTCCAGTCTTAAAAGTACAATTTGGAATTTTCACTATAGACCTACCCTAAATATGATAGATATAAATGTAGTAATTTATGGGAATCATAGGAATACTTTATTCTTAAACAGATCTGTACCTTTCACTTTTCTATTTAAAAAATAAAAGCTTATCTGTGCCCTCAGTAAGCTTCCAGTCCAGTATAGGAATGTGCAACAATTTGATAAGCATTGTAATGGGAGTGTGACTATGTCCTTGGGAACAGAGGGAGGGCTACTTAGATTTATGGAGGAGAGGTATCAGATCAGAGGGAATTTGCTCAGCTCAGGGGTCACCAACCTCTGGGCCGTGGACCTATCAGATCAGTGGCAACAGTAGATTAGAAATAAAGTACACAATAAATGTAATGCGCTTGAATCATCCTGAAACCACCACCCCCCCCAACCCCTGGTCCGTGGAAAAATTGTCTTCCATGAAATCAGTCCCTGGTGCCAAAAAGGTTGGGGACCACTGGCTTAGCTTACACCGAGTCTTGAAGGAACAGGCATTGCTGGACAATGGAAGGATAAGCATAATCCAGGTGGAGGGAACTTATTTACAATATCAGGGACCTCCCAGCAGTTTGCTTTTCCTGGAGAGTAAAGGGTGAGGAAGAGATTACCCAGAGAGTAAGAAGGGACCAGATCTAGAACTGATCTTCTCTGACATACTAAGCACTTTAGATTTAATTCACGGAGTGGTTAGGAATCCTTAAAGAATTTTGAATAAGAGAATAACATAGATTTATGTTTGGGGATGATTATTTTGTTTTACTTGGGATAATGGCAACATCATAGAGACTTCATTGGAAGGCAGAGGAATCAGTTAAGAAAGGTCAGGCAGCAGTCCAGGAAAAAGATGATGAAGACATGAACCAGAAAGCAAAAACAGGGATAAACTGGGATGGAGAAAGCCAACCACAGATACTGCCATCAGGACTTGACAGTTTGGAGAGACATGTCATTTTCAACTGAGACATGAGGATTCCATTCCAGTGACTGTTAAATTCTGAGGCTTTCTGGTTAAGGTGGTTAGGCAGAAATCTTTTGCAGAATGCATTACCTATATAGAGTTACTTATTTTCCCCTGGGCACCTGTGAATGTGTAGTGCTTGATATTTATAACACTAAAACACATTCTGTGGTATATAAAAACTAATATAAAATCCAGTCTCTTCTGTATTTTAACTTCTAAAGGAGATTTGCAGTCCTCTGTTTTTAGCATTGCATCAAGATTTCCCATCCTCAAAAAAAAAAAAAAAAAAAATTCCCATCCTTGCTGCAAAACTTATTGCTGGTTTTTGTTTTTCAAACAGATTCCTTGGGGCCAAAGCCGAAGTGCAGGTGGAAGGAAGATGTCTGAAAATAGCTATTCTCTGGATGACTTGGAAATAGGCCCAGGTAAGCAGAGAGTTCCACGTGTGGAAAGTTTTCTAGGAAGTACTCATTAGTAGCAATACCCTTTGACCTCAAAGCTGATGCTTTTAAAGGAAGAGTAGTGCAAATTAAAAGGAAGGCTGTTATATACAAGTCATTCCCAAATCTGATTGCTCTCTCCAAATAGCTTCTCTGTGTTTTTAATTCATCTTTGTCAGTGGTAACCTGTGTTAACCAGAGGGTCATTTTGCAGGATTATAAGGAAAGCACCATTACCAACAATTTTTGCTCCATGGTTGTCTAGGATTTGAGGGCTTCCATGGATGGACATTATCCCCTGTCAAGATTGCTGATTATCCTATATTGCTGATGCTAACATTACACCTTGAGAGAGGAATTATTATGTTTTGAAGGGGGCATATACAGGCATTTCACAAAAAATAAAATCAATTAATATAGGAAAACCATCAGCCTCCTAGGAATCAAAGAAATACAAATTAAAATGGCATTGTGATCTAATTTTTTCACATGTTAAATAAAGCCAAAATTTAAAAATATGTAACACTCAATGATGGTAAGCAGTCTCCTCTTAATGTTGGCAAAGTGAGTGAGTGTTGCCTTGTAAATAACAGTTATAATCCTGATTTCCTTCTTTATATTCTTAATAGAATAGGTTGATTCTACAATAGCCTAAAATTTAGAATCTTGAAATCATTCAAATCACATTTATCTTCTAATAAAACATATTGTTTGCATGCTTGCAGGTCAGCTGTCATCTTCAGCACTCAACTCAGAGAAAAGAGAGAGTAGGCGAAATCTAGAATTCCCACGCCTGTCAGAAACCTCCATAAAAGATCGAATGGCCAAGTACCAGGCAGCTGTGTCCAAGCAAAGCAGTTCTGCGAGCTATACAGTATGTGTTCGGCATCATTCATTCATTCACTCATCTAGCAAATGGTAACTGAGCATGGGAACTAGAAATGTCTCCCAGACCCTGACCTGTGAGCCCTGGCTCCTTCCTGGGGTCCAGCCGTTCTCTCTTCACATAAATCCTACCCTAGTTTCATTTGTAATCCTTACCATGTTCTAATTCTGACTTTGTTTTCCTAGGCCTTATTCCCACCCACCTTTTCTTTGGTGATATTACCATCTAGTAATACCATTGAGAATTTTCCTGTCTCTTCTACTTAATCTTTTTGTTAAAGAAGTAGTATTTGAAAAAAAAAAGAAGTAGTATTTAAGGAATTCCCTAGCAGTTCAGTGGTTAGACTTAGTGCTTTCACTGCCAAGGACCCGGGTTCAGTCCCTGGTCCAGGAACTAAGATCCCACAAGCTGCATGGTGGCCAAAAAAAAAGTAGTATTTTATTAGTTTTAATATAAACACTTATTTTTGTCTTTGAGAGAAGAAAGGGAGAATACTGGAGAGAAATATTGAATATATTCAACATTAATGTGGGATGGGACATTTTCCTGCAATTTTAATTCATATATAATTCACCTGACATAAAAATCACCATTTTAAAATATGCAATTCAGTTACTTTTAATATATTCACAAGGTTGTGCAATCATCACCACTGTCTAACTCTAAAACTTCTCCATCACCACCAAAAGAAACCCATCCCTGTTCAGTGACTCCCAATTCTACACTTTCCTTATCCCCTAGCAACCCCTAATCCACTGTCTGTTTTTATGGATTTTCTTGTTCTGGACAATTCACGTAAATGAAATCATACAACATATGATCTACTTAATATTTAATTCTTAGGATGTAATACTTTTCTAAAGAAATAGAATAGTGGATAAGAAAAAGAGGGAGAAATGATAGGAGGGTGAGGTACTCTGTAAGCACAAAAATGTGGTGTTCTAACACAATGGAGGATCCTTCCATATTACACTTTCCTAGGTTTAACTGGCAGGAGGACACAACAGAACTGCTTATTTGAAGTTACCTTTTAAATGCCATTTATTCATAAGTACACACACATATATACACATGTACACATACATTTGTATCTTTCAAACATTTGTTCCTTCTAAGATTTCAAATGACAAATTATTAATCTCTTATTATTTTCTAATAAAATTGGAAGAATAGTATTAGCTTTTATTTGTTCCCAAGCAGACTGAACCAGTGTCTGTTAGAAATCACAGTGTGTGTTCTCGGAATTGACCCTTCTTTCCCCCACAGGATGAAGTATGCCTTTGCCAATAGTATTTATTGGTAGACCAAGTCTCTGGGCGGTGAATAATCTCATCTTGATTTTTCACTATAGTTTTCAGAAGAGATAATGTGTGTAAATAAGTAGTGAAGTAGAACATCACAGGCTTGTTATTCATTGGGAGTGTGAAAAAAATAAGCAAATTTAGACTTCTCTTAAAAGGCAGGTCAGGAAATACAGCAAACATGATCTGTGGAGCTTAATTCCCTCTTGTTGCAAGATTTTGCTGCTTCTCAGTGCCTTCCTGCTATAAACATTCCGACCAGGTGATTCTCTAAGTGGAAAAACCTGTTTGGTAACTGTTTTTTTAACTCCTAATGAGAGTTTCTACATTGCGTTCTCCTGCTCTGTAAATTTTAAGAGTTGAAAAGCCTTAAGGAATTCTTGTTAAAAGCACATTTTATCTCATCCCCAAAGAATTTCTCAGGCCGCTACAGGGAGGAGCATGGTTGTAGCAAGGTACACACTCTTGATGCTGGGGGGCTGGGCTTTGAGGGAGATCAGGAATAAGTTTCCGGTTGTTGTACGGTTGGTTTTGCAATTTTGGCTGCCAGAGCTGTGGGCCTTAATCTGGAATTCCGCACCTGAAACTGTCAGTCCCACTGACACTCCGTTCACTGGCCCTGTGGCCATAAATGGCTTGTTTTCTCCCTATACCTGAAGAATCACAAAGAACAAAAAAGGTATTAGATTACTAGTAGGCTAAAGGTAGGAAATGTTCATATTCATCTACCTCTGTATTGACTTTGGATCTAGTAATAAAGTTGATTTTAATATTTTGCCCCAAGAGTTCTTTGCAAGGAAAACAAATATAATTATGCTCACTCCTTCTGATTCATGTCTGCTTTTTTATGTTGAAGCTCTATTATGAGAACTAGAATAAGGTATGTCTTTAGTATACTGTATGAATTTTATGCAAAAAAAAAACAGCCCACCAAAATATGTTTTTGAAAGTCTCTCAACAAAAGGCTATTTTTCGGTATCATTAAGTATAATTTCAATTCTTATATATATGCATCATCCCTGTCTTTCTTTCCAGGCCGGGCATTTATATATATGGTCAGTATCTTTTCTTAATTATTGGCACTTGGCACCTCCTTTCCCCTGCTCCAGAATGGTCTTTTCTGATAAAACTCACCAGCTTTGCATTCCCACAAGCTGTGCTGCTAGAAGAGTGAATCACGAGAATATTGTATGCTGGGGCAGCAGGGTGGAAGCGGGGAGGGTTGGTGTGTGTGTCTGTGTTGATGTGTCTATGTTCTAATGAGCATCAAGTTTTGGACTAGTTGTATAAATATTTAACTCTGAGGTGTGTGTGTCCACAAAGCTGCTTTTGTCATTTCACAAGTCAATGGGTTTTGCTTCTGAGATTTAGGGGGTTGATTTGACTTGAAACCTTGGAAAAGAATTTCTTTTTTAGCATTCCAAGTTTATTTAATAGATGGCTATGAAGAGAATTGTGAGACTTTTTTTAAAATTCACAGACTATTTTTATTTTGTAGAATGAGTTGAGAGCCAGTGGTGGTGAAATCAAAACTCATAAATTGGAGCAAAAGGAGAATGTGCCCCCAGGTCCTGAGGTCTGCATCTCCCATCCAGATGGAGAAAAGGTGGGTTGAAAAGCCTGATGTCCATTTGCCAGGGAAGCATGTGTTCTAAATTAGTTGCTTAAAATTAGAAACAACTCTAGGCTGTAGAGTGTCTGGGAATTTGGTAACAGCTGCCAGGACAGATTGTCTTTTTTGCAGGTCACATAATTTTGGTTGGGGAACTGTGCAACTTATAGCTGACCAAATAGTGAACCTTCATTGGAAAATTCTTTTGCTCAGCAAATGCTTAAGTGATTTTTAAAAAAACCTGTTTTGAATAGAGATATCATCTTCAAAGTTATTTGTATATTATTAATTTAACAGTTTGTGTATGAAAATGTTGTTCTTTCACTTCAGAGTATTTTGAAAGCTAGGCACTACTTAAGCACAGGCAATGCTGAACTTGTTCTTCAGTCACTAAGTCGTGTCTGACTCTTTGTGACCCCATGAACTGTAGCACAGCAGTCTTCCCTGCCTTCACCACCTCCCGGAGTTTGCTCAAACTTGTGTCCATTGAGTCAGTGATGCCATCCAACCATCTCATCCTCTGTCACCTCCTTCTCCTCTTGCCCTCAGTCTTTCCCAGCATCAGGGTCTTTTCCAGTGAGTCATTTCTTCACATCAGGTGACCAAAGTATTGGAGCTTCACCTTCAGCATCAGTCCTTCCAATGAATATTCAGGATTGATTTCCTTTAGGATTGACTGGTTTGATCTCCTTGCTGTCCAAGTGACCCTCAAGAGTCTTCTCTAGCACCACAGTTCAAAAACATCAGTTCTTCGGCACTCAGCCTTCTTTATGGTCCAACTCTCACATCCGTACATAACAACTGGAAAAACCATAGCTTTGGCTATATGGACCTTTGTCACCAAAGTTATACCTGCTCTTTAATACACTGTCTAGGTTTGTCATAGCTTTTCTTCCAGGGAGCAAACATCTGTTAATTTCATGGTTGCAGTCACTGTCTGCATTGATTTTGGAGCCCAAGAAAATGAAATCTGACACTCTTTCCACTTTTTCCCCATCTGTTTGCCATGAAGTGGTAGGACTGGATGCCATGATCTTTATTTTTTGAATGTTGAGTTTTAAGTCAGCTTTTTCACTCTCCTCTTTCACATTCATCAAGAGGCTCTTTAGTTCCTCTTCACTTTCTGCCATTAAAGTTGTTAGAGCTTAACAACTAAATGTGAACAAACCGTTCCATGTGGTCTTTACCTGCACGGAAGCTAATAGAATAGGAGGGAGATGCGTAACAAGTTGGCAATTATAAAACAGCAAAACAAGTGTTAGAAAGGGCTATGTGTGGCCATGGAAGCTTGGGCTAAGGACACTTACCCTGACTTTCTCAAGAAGGTGATATCTGAGCTAGATCTTGAAGGATGAACAGGCCAAGTGAATAAGGGGAAAGTTGAGTAAAAAAAAAAGCAAGTGTATTCCAGATAGACACAACAGAGGTTTGGAAACCAGAGAACCCAACCAAGAGCATAAAGTACATATAGGCAATGGTGAGAGACAGATGAAGGGAGAGGGCCAGGGCTGGTCTTAAAAAACCCTTAAAAGTATGGGTGTAGTCCTGGAGCAGAGGAAAGCCATGGGAAGATTTTAAGAAAATCAGGTTTTATGCATTTATTGTTAGATGCATGGCTTAGCTGGAGTAAGCAACAATATAGATGTCAGGTGAATTTATCATTTTCTCTGACAGTCCATTACCCAGTGTCTTTGGTCTTTCATTCAATATGATGATCAAGTGTTAAGTTAGATGAGGAAAAAGAGCTTTCAAATCTGTTACATTGATTAATAGGCACATAATCATTGTTTTTGTTATACATTTTGACACCCTTGAGGCCATTCTACAAAAGGTGAGGAGATGATTAAAATGGGTTGAGAGCAATAGTTCTCAAACTTTTTTGACTGTAAGTCTTTAAAATAGATGTATTGACAGCCTTGGATAGAGGAGCCCAGCTGGCTCTAATCCATGGGGTCACAAAGAGTCAGACATGACTGAGCAGCTAACACACACACACACACTGACAGCATACCAGCAGGAACTCATGAGATATACTACATACTTGGACCAAAGTAAGCATACAGAAAAATGGTCTCAGATTAATGGCCACAAAATTTGACTTAAAGAATTGTTGTTCAGTTGCCAAGTAATATCCGACTGCAACCCCATGGACTGCTGCGTACCAGGCTTCCCTGTCACCGTCTCCCAGAATTTGCCCAAGTTCATGTCCATTACATTGGTGATACCATCCAGCCATCTCATCCTCTGTTACCCTCTTCTGACTATGCCTTCAATCTTTCCCAGCATCAGGGTCTTTTCCAGTGAGTCGGCTCTTCGCATCAGGTGACCAAAGTATTGGAGCTTCAACTTCAGCATCAGTTCTTCCAATGAGTATTCAGGGTTGATTTCCTTTAAGATTGACTGGTTTGATCTCTTTGCTGTCCAAGGGACTTTCAAGAGTCTCCTCCAGCACCACAGTTCAAAAGCATCAGTTTTTTGGCGCTCTGCCTTCTTTATGGATTCAAAGAATAGAACAGGAAAAAATTTAGGAGTTTTTATTTTATAAAATTGAATCACTTCATTTTATAAAACAATATCTCATATATATTTTGAAATAACTAGACAAAGTACTTCTTTCATAATCATAAAATAATAAAATTACAAACATCCTTAAAACAGTGGGCTGAGGCACTATTTCCATGTCTCACGTAATGTTTCTAGTGAGTTCTCTCATCAGTCTGCCTGGTTTTCCCATTTTTTTAAGTGTGAGATTATGTCTTACAAAAAGTTTTCTTATATACTCTAAAAAAAGACATTTAAGAAGTGAAATCCTGCATTGAAATCCTCCCATCTGTTCTTGGAGCATAACTTGAAAAATAATCATCTGGATAATCGTACTTGAGTTGTCCCTATTTCTAATTTCATGTTTCTTTCTTAATTGTCTTCTTGATTTGCAACTGGAACTCTGAGCTGAACTGGAGGATCAGAACATTTTAATTACAGTCTAAAAGGGCATCAGTGCAACTGAATCACAAGTTAGGGAGTAGGAGGGGAATAGAAGAAATAAAGATAGTACATAGCCTTCAAGCATATGCAACTGAATCACAAGTTGGGGAGTAGGAGGGGAATAGAAGAAATAAAGATAGTACATAGCCTTCAAGCATATACACTGTAGGTTCATGAACCCTTGGATGCCTTAAAATTTGTAAAATTTTTCAAAGCCTCAGCTATCCTTTTGGCTGTTTGCCTAGCTTTCGTTAACCAACACCTAAGAGCTGTTTGAACTTTGGTTTGTTACAAAAGGACATTAATGCCAGGGTCAAGTTGCCTGAAATAGAGTATTTTGTCAAGGTATTGGTCTTCGCTTTCTCCTTTTGTGAATGAATTTGTACTTTTCTTTAATGAAATGTTTGAGCAAAATCTCACATACTGTCTCCTGGCTGTTCCGTAGTGAAGTCATCTAGTTGGGTACGTGCAGTGATGTCATGATTGTCATTAAACTTACCGTGCAGGTTCAAGGTGTCCAAATTGGAAGTGAAAAAAGGACATCTTGGGATGGATGCCCCTACTAATTAAGCAAGAATTGAAGAGCTTTTTGTAGCCATGCACTACTTTCAGAAAATTTATTTCATATCATTAAATGAAATAACACATTTAAAGTAGTCATTCCAATACCTGGAAAATAGTAAACATTTCATCCGTGTTAACTATTATTATACTGGTTTGTTTTATGCCATGTCAGAACTCCTGTAATAAAAGGAGAATAAAGGGGGAAAAACTGACCATGCTGAAATTCACGTGCAGTCAGCTAACAACTTAATCTCCATTGTAAATTTATTCGGTACATTAGACATCCTGATATAAACACTCAGCATCACCCATAAAATCCCTGACATCTGAATGAAAGAATATTCCATGAAGAGTGCACGTTGGGTCCTTTGATGACCCTTCATGATTTTGAATGTGAAAGAAGATATACGGAAGGACTAGGGAACAGGAGAACGGAGGAGTGAGCTGGTAGAAAGTTCTTTTATTTAAATTTGATGGCTAATGGGAAGAGTAATCACCCACACCTAAGATCTGCCATCTTGTTAAACACTACCATTTTGAGACTGGAATTAAACAAGGGAAACTAACCTTTGAAGATAATACCAAAGGGTTGTTATAGATAAATTTGTTTTATAGCTATCAGAAGGTCTTCTGTACTAGCAAGCTTGTTTCAGCAGAATGTGTTTGGTTGGGCAATAAGGAGTTAGGAAAATGAACGAATAATAGTTCCTGTATGTAAAGACTTTATCTTGCCTTGGAGTGAGTTACAGTTATAGGAGTTGTGGTTTTTGGTGAGGAGCTTTGCCCTCCCTGATAGAAGGATTTGTTTCACACCCCACTTTCCCTCTTTTTTTTTTTTTTTGAGAGTAGAAAGATATATTCAGAAGTTCTTTTATAAAGGAAGATAATGCACACTTTTGGCAGTTGCTTGCAGTCTGTTATTCACATAACTCTGTAATTGAGAGGCATGTTAATATCCTCGTAAAAGACATTTTGCTGCCTCTTGTTTAAATGCTCAGCTGTTCTGGGGCCCATTATTTCCCCTCAGGCAGCCGGTGACTGACTGGAGTCAGCAGGTTTTTATGGCATTACAGCAGTTTGCTCTTTTATTTTTAATGTGATTCTTAATCCCCCCGCCTTTTTTTGTAGGTTTCTGCATCTGAGGATAGCCTGGCAACCCATTCTACCCCTGCTGAAGATGATTCCCGTAAGTGTTCGTTCTTAGGTCTGGAGGGTGAGGGTCTTGTTTTCTTGCCCCTGTTTGGTTGTGGAGGGCAGGGGATGGGGGGGCTTGTCCCCGTTTCTGTCAGCTCTGAGAATATGTAACATATTAAATCCAGTAATGCAGCTGATTAGATCTTTCACTTGGTTTTAATGACTGATGACTGGGTACCTTTCACATATCCCATGGCAAAGAGAGATGTTAAATTCAATGAAATATGATTAACTTGGGGCAAACTGAATATTTCTGATGCTTCTCTCCTTGAATTTACCCTGTCTTTTATACCAAACCTTTTCAGGTTTAATGCTGTAAAAACTATAATTTTGAAGTTTCATTTTAATAGAAGTTTAGCCAAAAAGGGCTTTATTTATTTACAGGGATAAGAATTGGTATTTGAGTAGCCTTTAAAAAATACCCTTTTCTTATTATATCTATATAAATATGTACTATAATCCGCCCTCTGGCTAAATTGTTCCTGTTGGTGCTGAATTTGATCACCTTTTCATCCTACTTTGAAATCATTTTGAGCCTCTTTTCCCAAAGACAAAAATCTTTGTTTTTTAATTTACTGTGTCCACTTTTGATTCTGATGTTCAGTGTATTAGTTTTTTTAATATATATAGATTTCTAGCTTTTCCTCAGGTTAATAACTCACTAAACATTGAAAACTCAGCAAGAAGCAGAAGTATTAGCTAAACAGATCTCTAGTAAACCCTGCCTTAAAATTTCAGAAAAATTCTTGCTGCTTGAATCCAAGAACATTCCATTTGCAATCATTTTGCTTGGACTAGAAATTTTTCTGAGTTTTGACTAGGTTTGCAAAGCATTTTTTTGAAAAGTAAGCCTTAATCTTTCAATACTTTGTTGACATAACTCTAGATTTTAGGGAATTCTTTTATGGTTCCTTAGTAACTGCATGAATGACTTCTCTGTGCCTCTTCTGAGTTTTCCACACAATGAATATACTGGCAGGAAATTAACTTATGTAAGTGACACGTCAATGACTATGAAAAAAATTTTATGGAGCCTTTTCCCATAATCTTCATCTATGGATATTTGCTGTAGGGCTGACCAAGAAGATGGTGTCACATTATATACACACATATACATGAGCATGTGTTGTGAAATTTCTGCCCACACATTCCCCCATTTTCCCAAGTTCAGCTGGAACACCCCAGAAGGAGTTATTGGGAGTGCTCATTGCCAAAAAGCCATTAAAGTCTACAACAGCCTTTAAAAATGACAAATGCTACAGGGCGGAAGTTTCCTTCTGTAGGGTGGTTTGGGTTCAGCTGCATGTGGCAAAGGATGAGAAACCCTCTGCGTTGACACCCCAATTTACGAGAGAATCTAACAACATAGCTTTTAGTAGTAGAATATTCTTCAACGGAAAAGCAGTGTTTTTCCTGACATTGAAAGGACCTGTCGATAATGGAGGTGCCTAAACTTGGGGAAGAACCTTTTCTGATACTTCTCTTGAGATACCATAAAATGTCTTCCTTCTGTAACTCAAGCAGGTAATTCCCAGGTCAAGAGTGAGGGCCAGCAGCCTGTGCATCCCAAGCCACTAAGTCCAGATGCCAGAGCCTCCAGCCTTTCTGAAAGTTCTCCTCCCAAAGCAGTGAAGGTATGATGGTGATTTCTCTTGGAGCCTGTAGACACTGGTTTACTAGTAAAGCTCATTGCATCTTTTATCACTGTGTTTGTAATAACCTGTTTTGGCTTTCCTGGGGACGAAAATGCCAAATAAGAGCACACTTGAACCAGTCAATTTACTTGAAAATCTTGCCACTTTTTCTTAGGCATTTGAGCCAGGCGTGATGAGGCTCATTAATATTGCTCTGTCTGGAATATGGAAAGCTCCTGAAAGAAAACCCAAAATGAAAGAAAATAACCCGACTTATTTTCTTGTTAAGTCCAAATTCATAAATCTATGAATGAGTAAAAACCTGTAAAATGAGCAATACAAAAAATGTGTTAAATTAAAATCAGCCCATTGGATGGGAATGTACAGTGTTAGCTTAAAGATAGCGGCTCCCTGGTCTGAGGAACTTAATGAAAACATGATTGGTAGTCAGTGCATTTAAAGAAAGAATGTGTACATTTCAGCAGGGTTTGGCCAGTCCATTTGCTCTACTAATGGGTATTCAGGTAACATTTACACTTAGTTATAATATTAGATATTAAGGAGTATACAAAATGTTTGTACCATAGGAAAATTTTACTAGGCTACTCAATCTATGGTCTCCTTTTATTCACTAATTTTTAAAAGCAGCCTTTCCCTTTCTATGAACAAGTTAATATTCCCATAAAAATAAACAAAGGTAAAAAAGTATATATCCAGCCTCTCTTTTAGGCTGTTCACCTGGCTTGTTTTAATTGAATGCTTTGCTAATACCATGCTGATTTACCCACTTGCATTAATAACCAAACATACCTACACTTCTTTAGTGTCTTCCTCCTGTGGTGTTCTCTTAAGTAGTCAAGGTTTGTTTCAAAGGTTTTAACATTTGAGAGAAACTCAGTGGGTAGAATTAGTTTTAAGGTGATTTGTACTGCCTTAACTTCATGCACGCATCTGCCATTTCTGTCTCTCAACTGTGGGCATGATTGGTTTCTTGATGAAAGTTCTCGTACACAGAAAGGATGAAGAGAGGGAGACAGAGGTGTGGGTTTGAAACAAAGGGAGAATAAGGAGAATCCAGGATTTAAAGGTTAGATTGAAAAAGAGAGTGGGGCAGGGGTGGGGGAAGATGGTAAACATAAAGATTTTAAAGGAAGCAGATACATGAGGAGAATAAGATTTATTGAAAGGAACAAAAAATGAAGAAAGTAACACAAGAAAGCAAGTGAACTAGGAAGAAAGAACTGAGCTGCATGATGGGATCTGCATGTCCTTGGCGTGACCCTCTCTTCTGGCCTCGAAGCTCTGCTCATGCTGCCATCAGCACTTTTCTTTTTCCAGTATCTGGAGTCCAACAAAGTAGCAAATGCCACAGGGTTAATTTCCTCTCCAGCAGCAATTCTGCCCAGATGTGAGTCCTTGGGTTGTGGTTCTGGACCAAGAACAGCAAAGCTGACTTGGCTATGGATTCTGTGTGCCTGAGGGACTAGGGGGGTTCTGTAGCTGATCTAAGAACTAAAATCTGTTCTCAAGTGTGTCTGAATTATCAATCCAGTCTTGCTTCCCTCCCTTGGCTACTAGACCAGACTTCCTGGTCCTGGGTTGGACCTTTGGGACCCCTCCTTATTCATACTCCAGGATCTGAGCTGATGAGCCATGTGCAAAGAAATGCACCTCACTAAGGTCTTCCTGGCACACCAGAGAGAGGAGATGGAGATAAAGCTCCCTCTGTACCATGCCCGCCTCTTTGGCTCTGGTCACTCAGCACTAGAATAAGCCTGCTTGCACCAGACATACACCTCAGGTTTTGACTGGAGTAAACTGGCCTGACTACCTGTGTTTGCTCAAATGGTTATGGTGTTGTACAGAGCTCGGGGTTTTACCCAATCACATCTCCACTTTTATTTAAGGACTGTTTATTTTCCCTTCCTCAGAGTTTGCCTTTGCATTCTGCAGGCAAGTATGTAGATACTTTAGCGTTTCCAGGAAAACCTGCTGACATAACTGGTCTCGTGGCTATAGACCATGCAACAGAAGTTTTTTCTCCACTGGGAAATTACATACAGCTAAGAATAAATGTGTTCACTCAGAATAGATTTTGGGTCCCCCACATCCTGGAAAATGTGCTGCCTAGTAGTGCCTGTTATTGAAAATAGGACATCTAAGGTAAAGACTCAATTCATTTCAAATTTTAGCTTCAGTTCAGTTCAGTCGCTCAGTCATGTCCGACTCTTTGCAACCCCATGAATCCCAGCACACCAGGCCTCCCTGTCCATCACCAACTCCTGGAGTTTACTCAAACTCATGTCCATCGAGTTGGTGATGCCATCCAGCCATCTCATCCTCTGTCGTCCCCTTCTCCTGCCCCCAGTCCCTCCCAGCATCAGTGTCTTTTCCAGTGAGTCAACTCTTTGCATGAGGTGGCCAAACTATTGGAGTTTCAGCTTCAGCATCAGTCTTTCCAATGAACACCCAGGACTGATCTCCTTTAGGATGGACTGGTTGGCTCTCCTTGCAGTCCAAGGGACTCTCAAGAGTCTTCTCCAACATCACAATTCAAAAGCATCAATTTTTCAGCGCTCAGCTTTCTTCACCATCCAACTCTCATATCCATACATGACCACTGGAAAAACCATAGCCTTGACTAGACTTAATAAGGTAAAATAAAAACAAAAAAAAAAACCACTCCACAGATGATATTAGTTTTTAAAAGTAAGGATTTTGTCTATTTTGAACACTGGCCAGACAGTTCCGTTGATGAGACTTGGCAGTAAAGAAGTTTAAATAGCAGGTTCCCTTCTCAAAATAGGTGTTCTGGGTCTAGAGCTCAGTAGACCCTGTGAGAAGGATCAGACCTTTCAACTCAAGAGACCCAGAGGTCTCTTAAGCTTTATGTTCTCCCACTAAAATGTTATTCCCTGTTCAGAGCATCACATGAAGATTTCATTGGATTTTATAGTGGCTTTCTGATTTTGGTAGTCCATTGAAAAAGGGAGTTTGAAAGTTGTATACTGTTAACGATTGTCTGCCCGTGTCCTGCCTGAAATACCATGATTGTTTATGAAAAGTATCTTTAATAAAGCTGGATACAGTTTGGCTTGGAAAAAAAAAAAAAATGTTATTCCCTAAATGTTCCTGGAGGGAGGACAAGGAAGGAGATATGACTAGCCCTAGAAACATCTACTGGTCTGGGATAACCCCACCCCAGGATGCTAGGCTTGTCTTGCTGTTGGATGTGGAAAGAAAACACGGCAGCCTGAATGAGAGGCTGTACCCTTTGTACCTGTCCCTTCCTTCATGGACAGGGAAGGAGGTTTTATGCTGCTTTGCAAATCTATCAGAATTATGCTAGAAGGGCACCTAGATTCTTTTCTGACTACCTATATCATTACTGCTTTCTCAGAGCACTAACATTTCCTCTACATGTAGAACAACCTATGTAAGGTGTGAATATCTCCAAAATGCTTTCACAAAGAATTTCACAAAAAGCCAGCAGAAGGGTTAAGGCCAGAGCCAGCCCAGCTATTTACTGTATGGTGGGGAGGGTTTCAGTTTAATTACCCAGATATTTTGCACAAATTGGAAGGAGGAAATGAAAGGCTTTTTATAGTGTTCTATCTGAGGCATGGAGGCCTGACATCAGTACAGAATTTTCTTCTGATTTCACTATGTCTAAAGGCTAGTTGCTTTACCACTTATGGCCAGCTGCTGCCCACACACAGACATATACCCCAACTGGGGCCTTTGTCGAACTAAAAAATATATGTAAGACACGAGAGCAAAAGAATGTAGATAGTCATAAAAATTTATTGGAAAAAAAGCTTTAAGTAGATGCTGATCAACAGAAGGCCTGTAACATCCCTCAGATGGAAAAGACCTGAGAGTGTTTAGGGACATCAATTATTTATATATTACCTCATTCATTCCTGACAATCCCTGAGATATTATCTACATATTTTAATTTGAAACAAAGTGAAGACTTGTTCATTCAAAATGCTGTGGTGAAATCATTTTCAATTGGGTTAGCATCTGCTCTCTTCCCCAAAGAGTTTCCTTTAGTTATGGAAATTTATTCCAGGACAATTTAGAAAATACTCTCTCAGTTTGTTAGTCGAGAATTCTGAGTTTTAATTTTAATTCTGTTATTATTGACTGTGCAAGCTTTAATAAGGCACCTGATATCGTGGTGCTTTAGTGTGAAAAATGGTGAGGGAGGGGAGATGACAAAGCATCTTATGAACTGCAAAAAATATAAAGATTAAAAAATGTCTAAACATTCTATTACTGGCAGCATTTTAAATGTGGCTGTGCCAAGTTCGAGCATGCCATGAAGGCATGGGCAGGATGTATGCCAGGCCTACCATAATGGTAGAGATTTTTGGGCACTGACTATGCTTCCTGTTGTCTGAATAGACACGGGGGCAATTACAGAAAAGTGGCTGAGAGCCCAGGACAGAGGAAATAAAGGGAAGGCACAGCCGCAGCCACTCTGACTTGGCATATTGCCATGTTGGGCTCCTCTTGTCTTTATAATACTATAGGGGCCCTTAGGCAGCTGCCGCATAACCCTTAAATAATATTGAAAAGGGTGTATGTGAAAAAGGGATAGGATTAATGGGAATCTGGTAGGGCTGGCTAGTTAGAAGCTTGTGGTTAGTCAGATGCTTGAGCTAGCAATTTATTAATTTGATGTTAAGGAGAGGAATGCCTTTTCACTTGTTGTGAGTGAATGCCCTAGTCAAGAGAGAGCAAATGTGGGTCAGGTGTGGAAGGTAGGAAGACAGTGCAGAATTGTTCGTGAGACACTCCTTGTATGGGTGAAGGCTTGGAAAACTCTCTCTCCTGAGTTGGTACTCTGATCTAACCTCAGGTGGGTATGAGTGAGCTGGTGTTACCACGATTAGCAGCATTACTTGGTAAAGAAAGAAAACGGGGTCTTATTCTTGGATCTGAGTCTATATCTGAGCTTCAGCTCAGCTGCAGTAAAAAGCGCTCCAGGGCACACCGAATGCTTTGTATTCACTGAAGGTTCCTGTTTGTCTCTTCCAGCTTCTGCTTCCTGCTCCTGGTACCTAATTTTTGCTCCTGCCTTCCACTTTCCTCCTAATGTGAGCTCAACTTACAGCTTTCTGTTCTGGGCTGCACCCTTCTACTGTGTGTTTCTGTGTGTGTGTGTGTGTGTGTGTGTGTGTGTGTGAAACAGAGGTGTGCTCTGTAGGTGTGTGTGTATGTGTGTGTGTGTGTGTGTGTGACCAGAATGAACACGTATTCTCCTGTGTTAAAAATACAGCATTCGTCCTAGAGCTGAAAAAGGTTTTCACTGATAAGTAAATACATTGGGCCTATTACTTTACATTGTCTGAATTGTGATTTGTACAGGCTTTAATTGTACTATTATACCCAAATTTTATTCTTTTAATATTTCCTGCTTGCTAGGCAAGGACCTAGTCCTTTTAGAAAAACCTAATTAAATTATACAAGGACATCTCCACTTAGGCCCTATCTTGTTAGAAGTGTCGATATAAGAAAAAACGATTTGGGAATTTGCTAGCAGTCCAGTGGTTAGGACTCTGAGTTCTCACTGCCAAGGGCACAGCCAAAAAAAAAAAAAAGGAAAGAAATAAAGAAAAACCAATTCTACATCAAGATTCTACTATATAGCACTGGGAACTATGCTCAATATCCTGTAGTAAACCATAATGGAAAAAAATATGAAAAGAATATACATATATAACTGAATCACTAAGCTATATACCAGAAACTAACACAGCATTGTAAATCAACTATACTTCAATAAAATTTAAAAAAAAAAAGGAAACATTTTCAAACTCCAAATAATGCCCTAATATCTGCCAACAGCATTCAGTACAGTAACATTAGATCATATTTAAATTCCTCAGTTATGCTTGGTAAACTGAGTTGTAGGTGTAGTCTTTGATTTAAGTTTTTCTTTTTGACTATAACCCTAGGAATGGAGAGCCTGCTGTTAACACTCAGCACACCCTCCCCCCTCATTTTTAAATCCTTTGGTGCTATTTGGGAGTTTACCACCAATTTTATTAAATTCCCTTTTATGGATCTTAACCTTTACTCCTCTGCCCATTTTCTACTCTCATTTCCTGTCAAAATCTGCTTGGCAATCATTCCTATTTTTGCTTTACTTCTTTGTGAATCATGTGGCAAGTGAGCCAGCAGTCTGAATTTTTTTTATGGGTCTATTTTCAGACTTTTAAAATTAAAATTCTATCTTACCCATAAGCTGTTTTATTTCAGGCTTACCTTAGCCATTCAGGCCTTGAGCTTTGGGACTAAACTGTATTATTCGCCACCATACTGGTCCTGGTGGCAAAGGGGCCACCAACGTGCCTGAGAGAGCTTCCAGACCACCTTAACCAAACTGCTCCTACCTTTACTCTTAATAGTTGAGGTGTTTCTGTTGGGACAAGTCAAGGATCACACACAGCTAGAGACTTCTTACCCCCAACCCTAGTGGCCATGTGACTACTTCTTATCGTGTAAAACTTACAGCTTTGGAACTCTAGCTTTCATCAGTGCTAGAATACAGTATGTAGTTTGTGTGTGTTCAGTCTCACTAGTGTCCAACTCTTTGCGACTCATGGACTGTAGCCTACTAGGCTCCTCTGTCCATGGGATTTCCCAGGCAAGAATACTATAGTGGGTTGCCACTTCCTTCTCCAGGGGATCTTCCCAACCAAGGGATCCAACCCACATCTCCTGCTTTGGCAAGTGGATTCTTTCCCACTGAGCCACCTGGGAAGCCCTTTTGTAGTTTAGGATTAAGTTTACCAGCAGCAACTGTGCTCACCCTGCCCATATTCCACACTACAAACAGTTCACGAATTCCCTATTATGACTCCTCCCACCCTGCCCCAGTACATTAGTTTTATTCTCCTTTTGGTTTTTTAAAAAGATTATAGAACCTATAGTTTTATTGGGCTGTGCTTTTTTCTGTTGTTCTAATAAAATTGTTTGTGTCTCTTTTAAAATATTCCATTTTATGTGTCCATTTTGCTTTATTTAAAAATATTATGTCTAGTGGATTGAGTAAATCACGATTATAAGCAGAAGGGGCTGATAGTTGCTTTATCCAAGTATCTTTTCCAAATAAATACAAAAAAGAATGTCTATATGTATATAACTGAGTTTGCTATATGGCAGAGATTGGCACAACATTGTAAATAAAGTACACTTCAAAAAAAAAGTAAAATAAAGTACACTTCAATAAAAAAAAATTTTTAAGTAAATAAATTTTTAAAAACCAGTGTCTTTTCCTACTTCCCAAAGCCAAATGCACTTTCTCTCCTTGAAAGTTATCCCCTTCAGAAACGGTTCTTTAAAAAGCCTGTCCTGCTTCTATTTGGCACTTAAACAATTGTCTTTCTTCTGTGTCTGATGACATTTTCTCCTAACTTCCTGTCTGCAGAATCATTTTCTGTGTACTCGTGTGTGTGTGGTGGTTGGTCTAAGCCTTTCTCTGCAATCCGGCCCTAGATCCACTTATCCTCAGTGGCTGCTGCACTTAGAATAGCCAGGCAGTCTGGGTGAGGAATTCAGGAGAGCCTTTGGCTTTAAAGAGTCAAATGATAGAATTATAGCAGGCTTAGTGTTCCTCTGAGAATTGACAGGCCAGGTAAGGGAGCCAATAGATAACAAAGTAAATCCCGGGGCCCACCTCAGCAGAGTACTAACTTCTCGCTGCCTCTAGCTGAAGTTGTCCTTTACCTTTTCCTAGAAGTTTCAGGCACCTGCAAGAGAGACCTGCGTGGAATGTCAGAAAACAGTCTACCCGATGGAGCGTCTCTTGGCCAACCAGCAGGTGTTTCATATCAGCTGCTTCCGTTGTTCCTATTGCAACAGCAAGCTTAGGTAAGCCAGACCAAACAAGACATCTCTGGAGGTAGTTGGACCTCCAGAGGGAGGCTTTGGTTTTTAGAACACTTAGAATACTAAAATCTGTGGTGCTAATAGTATCTGCTGTTAGAAGAGCTCAGAGAGCTACAGACAAAAATTAATGAAGTTATAGTAGCTCTTCAGGTGATTATTGCTGATCCAAAGATCGACTACAGACTGGTAAAGTTGGAAGATGAACATTTTAGGATTTCAGCTTCTCACCTACTTAGTACAGTTGAGAACCATGTATGCTGTGACATGTGTTTAGAGATGTCATATTTTTGAGGGAAGTATCCCAGAAAATTGACTGTGTTCTAGAGATTTACAATCATTGCTTTTTCTGTAATAAAGTTGGGAGGTTGATTTAAAAAAATTGTGTGTGCCGTTGAGGATCTTCGAAGAAAGTGAAAAGTACCATTTAGTTACAAGCATTTTATAGTAAATGATAATGGTGTTTAGAACTTCTTGGTACATTGCCATTAATTTACACGTTAGGACTAAAGCTTAAATCATGCAGGTTGTTGGTGACCTAATTTAGCAGAATGTTTTCCCTTGGTATCAAAGAATCATACAGTTAAGAAATCTCAAGAGGCTACTTGTTGAAGCCCTTCAGGTTATCCCAAGTACTGTATAAATGGCAAAAACAGCAAAAATAGTAGATCCTGAAGAACACACATTTTTCTGTATATTGCTTTATTTTCTGAGAAAATAATGATGTATCATTTCTTCTTAGTAACTCAAAGTATGGATATAAATGTGGCAAATTGTAGAAAAATTCCATGTGAGCTCATTTCATCCATACTGGAGGAGGAAGTAACCAGGATGGCATTTCTCCCAGCCTTCCTTCCAGAGCAGGCATCCCTTCCACCACACTGTTGAAAGATGTCCTGGCACCTGTGTGGCACTTCTGGCTGGGTTAATACCCCACTTCAGCTAGTTCTGGTGTTAGCGCTAGCTCCACAACTTTCCCTTCTATTGAGCCAAAATGTGCGACTATAACTTCCACTCAGTGGTTCTTTTTCCGTCCACTGTATTCTTTTCTTCAGAGCACATTCTTCTAAATTTTTGAATTTTTATGTTTCTCCTGTGGAAATAACTGTTGTTTTTCCACCCCTCCTATAAAATGTGTTACCCTTTGAGAGACACCAGATGTCCTAAAGACCTGTCCAGCACTGAAGTTAGGGTAGACCGACTTCTGGCTGTTGTTTGCTGTTCTCCTATTAACCATAGCTTTCCTTTATTCAGTCACTGGCATCTACTGAGTGCCAGCCATTGGCAGAGCATTATACCCATTCCTGCTTTTAAATTATAACACAAATGGGAAATTAGGAGGAAAATGATTCAACTTTTTACAAAGGAATATCATTAAAAATAGTTACATGTTATAAATAGTTAGGAAATAGGAGAATGATCAGAGTTAGGTGGAATTACCTAGGGAAGACTTCTTGGAAGTAATTTTTTTTAACAATTTTGACAGAGGGGAGGGAGTGAAATCACTTGAAAATGGGAGCATGCACCAAGTGGAAGAATGTCTTCTAAAGTTTCAGGCCTAGAAATGAGCATTTTTTAATAAGGATAATAAAAACAAACATGTTTAAAAGGGGATGGAGCATCCTCGGTTGACTGATGATGTGCTTTTTTAAAAATTTTATTTATTTGGCTGCACTGGGTCTTAGTTGCAGCACATAAGGTCTTTAGTTATGGCATGTGAGATTTTGTTCCCTGACCAGGGATCGAACCTGAGACCCCTGCATTGGAGTGCAGAGTCTTAGCCACTGGACCACCAGGGAAGTCCCTGAAGTGCTTTTAAAGATATTTTTCTCACTTTGCATCTTCTGGAAATACTGGAGTTGCCAGGTTTCAGTCTACTGGTATAAATAAGAGTATACACATTTGTTAACTTTATGCTCTTTTTTTTTTTTAAACAACAGTCTAGGAACATATGCCTCTTTACATGGGAGAATCTATTGCAAGCCTCACTTCAATCAACTCTTTAAATCTAAAGGTAACTATGATGAAGGCTTTGGACACAGACCACACAAGGATCTGTGGGCAAGCAAAAATGAAAACGAAGAGACATTGGAGAGACCAGCCCAGCTTCCAAATGCAGCGGATACCCTTCAGAGCCCAGGGGTAGAAAATGCCCCCATTGAGAAAGTGGGTGTGCTAACTGCAAGTATGGAAGCCAAGGCCTCCTGCCCGCTGGAGAGGGAAGACAAGCCAGCTGAAACCAAGAAGCTGAGGATCGCCTGGCCACCCCCCACTGAGCTTGGCAGTTCAGGAAGTGCCCTGGAAGAAGGGATCAAAGTATTGAAGCCTAAGTGGCCGCCTGAGGATGAAATTAGCAAGCCTGAAGCTCCTGAGGATATAGACCTGGATCTGAAGAAGCTAAGACGATCTTCTTCTCTGAAGGAGAGAAGCCGCCCATTCACCGTAGCAGCTTCATTTCGAACCTCTTCAGTCAAGAGCCCAAAAGCCTTGTCCCCCCCTATCAGGAAAGGCTGGAGCATGTCAGAGCCAAACGAGGAGTATGGAGGAGGTGTAGCAGCAGAAAGGAAACACATGGAAAATGCCAGTGCCTCTGAGAAGAATGAGAGTGTGGGGAAAGCAACCTGGCCCAACAAGGGATCTAAAGGAGGGGAGGCTGGGCGGAGAAGTAAGGAGATTCACAGTTTTGAGATGGGGAGTGAAAATCTTATAGAGAATGGTGCAAACTTAGATGAAAGTGATAAAAACCTCCTCAAAAAGCAGTCTCCACTAGAACCCAAGTCAAAAACTTGGTCTAGCTATACAGACAACCCCTCCACTAAAGAATTCACTACTCAAAATCAGAAATCCCAGGATGTGGGATTCTGGGAGGAAGAAGTAGTTGAAGAGCTGTCTGTAGAGGAACAGATAAAGAGAAATCGGTACTATGATGAGGATGAAGATGAAGAATAACAAATTGCAATGATGTTGGGCCTTACATTTATGTGAGTGTCAGTGAGTTACTGCCCTTATCAAAGTGATACACATAAACAGCTGTCTCAGCATGAACTGAAATTTATGAGGAAGTAACTTTGGAAGAGAGTTCCTGCTTCAAAAAAAAAATCCCATATTGCAGCTTAAGTGAACCAATTCTAAACGCTAGAGATAACATCACTTAAATCCTCTATTTTTAGCAATGATGATATACACAACTGCTTTAAGGTCTTTTGGGGGCAGGAGTGTGTATGGCGGAGTGGGGGGGGGGGATATTCCAACTGATAAGGTCCAGATTTCACTGTATTCCTGAAAGACAATATGAAAATAGAGAGATGATTAGTAGTGCACTGTTCCACTAAAAATTCAATTATGGAATGAGCAGAAGGGATTTAGGGGCCTAAACATTATAACTGAATGCACTTTAGTATAAAGGGCACAGTTTGCATATTTTTACATAAATACCAATTTATTGTTTAGTATTCCTCTGCTAAGAGATTAAATATTTAGTCTTTTTTAAAAAATTAGGTTAATTTTCTTACTCTGATGTATATGGGGGATTTATTGCTTACTCTGATATATAGGGGGGTTTATTGCATCCTGCTTTCTAGACCACATCCTGAACCTAGAGTATTGAGATACAGCACAACCATCTTTTCAGAGTACCTTTTGAGCACCCTTGGTGCCTGGAGGGATTCATTGTGTCCCAAATAAGCTATGGTATTTGCCAATGAGTATGACCACACCCCAAGTGATTGCTTTCTTCTCTGGTGGTCTCTGTATTTCTCATAATTTACTGAAAGCTGCAATATTTTTATAAGATCTTTTATATTTGCCATGTTGCATATTAGAGCAAAGTGATGAGTTTAAAGGAGGAATAACAAAAAAGAAAAAGATGCCTTAAACCACTTGAGTTCAGACCCCCCCGACCCCTATAATTCTACTTCTGATATCCCCTTTCTGGGACATTAGTTTTTGAATACTTATAAGTTCTGAAATGTATAGATTTTTATGGCAGACAGTATTCCTAGGATGCAATTAAACCAATTATAGGCCTTTCTTGAGAGATGATTTTCTAGTATTAAGGTTTTGGAAAAATATAAACTTGAGTACATTTGTTGTACATAATTGATATTCCAAATTGTATTTTGGCGGGGAGAGAAGCATTTTAAGCTATAGGCTTTACTTTATACAGCTTTTTTCGAGATATAGCTCTGATGTTTTTTAGAGATGTAAAAATATTCTGCTTTCTTACAGTCTTGCTTACTCTGAAACATTTTTATTCAATAAAGCTTTTAACTGACATTTGAACTTTCAGTGTTCCTTTTCCATTATTATTTTACATTGTTACTGTCTCTCAGGACTTACTTTTGCCTTAGCAGTTTGGGTAGAAAAGGCAAGTACGTCTGATGGGTTTCAAGGGAAGTACTATGTATACCTCTCACCACTAGGTGGTGGTGTTGAGCTGGTCTTAGGCTTTCATTCTCCTAGAAGACAAATTTTTCTTCAAAATGGAAAGCAGTCTGGCAACAAAATTATTGTGTGCTTTCAAAACAAGACGCTTGTTTTACCAATTCAAGATGCAGTGGTGGTTTTTATTAATTAGTTAATTATTGTTCAGTTGCTAAGTAGTGTCCGACTTCCAACCTCACGGATTATAGTACACCAGGCTCCTCTGTCCTCCAGTATTTCCCAGAGTTTGCTCAAATTCTTGTCCACTGAGTCAGTGATGTTATCTAACCATCTTATCCTCTGCTATCCCCTTCTTCTGTCCTCAGTCTTTCCAAGAATCAGGGTCTTTTCCAATGTGTCGGCTCTACCTCAGGTGGCCAAAGTATTAGAGCTTTAGCATCAGTCTTTTCAATGAATATTTAGAGTTGAGTTCCTTTAGGGTTGACTGGTTTGATTTCCTTCCAGTCTCAAGAGTCTTCTCCAGCACCACAATTCGAAAGCATCAATTCTTCAGTGCTCAGCCTTCTTTTTTTTTTTTTTTCCTTTAGCCATGGACTTTATTGTTTGAATATTAACAACTATTATTCTATACTCGCATTTTAATTTCTTACAAAACTCTACATTCCACATTGCTAGGTCTCTTCATTCTCCATTTTATGCCACATTTTCATGAAAAGCTATTTCCCTGAATCATAATCTGCCTGATTGTGTGTTTGTTGTTATGGTTGTTGTGGTGTAGTCACTAAATTGTGACCCCATGGATCATAGACCCCCAGGCCCTTTTGTCCATGGGGTTCTCTGGGCAAGAATACTGGAGTGGGTTGCCATCTCCTTCTCCATCAGCCTTCTTTAATGGTCCAACTCTCACATCTGTACATAATTACTGGAAAAACCATAACTTTAATTATATGGACCTTTGTCGGCAAAGTGATGTCTCTGCTTTTTAATACGCTGTCTAGGTTTGTCATAGCTTTCCTTCCAAAGAGCAGTTGTCTTTTAATTTCATGGCTGCAGTCACCATCCACAGTGATTTTGGAGCCCAAGGAAAGAAAATCTGTCACTGCTTCCACTTTTTCCCTTTCTATTTGCCATCAAGTGATGGGACCAGATGCCATGATCTTAGTTTTTTGAATGTTAGGTTTCAAACCAGGTTTTTCACTCTCCTGTTTCACCCTCATCAAGAATCTCTTTAGTTCCTCTTCACTTTCTGCTATTAGAGTCATATTATCTGCATATCTGAGGTTGTTGCCTTTTCAACTGGCAAATTTGATTCCACCTTGTGATTCATCCAACCCAACATTTCTCATGATGTACTCTGCATTTAAGTTAAATAAGCAGACTGACAATATACAGCCTTGTCATACTCCTTCCCCAATTTTGAACCAGTCAATTGTTCCACGTCCATTTCTAACTGTTACCTCTTATCCTGCATACAGGTTTCTCAGGAGGCAGTTAAGGTGATCTGGTATTCCCGTCTCTTTAAGAATTTTCCAGTTTGTTGTGATCCACAGTCAAAGCTGTAGTGTAGTCAATAATTCTATCTCCAAGGAAATCTACACTCCCATTTAAAAAGGAAAAAAGCAAAAAACACCTTAATAAGGTAAAGTATACTTTATAATACACCTAAATGCTAAATGGAATCTCTGAATGCCTCTGCTGGACTTGAAATGCACTTGTTTTTTGCTCTGGGCAGAGGTATAGTTGTCGTTTCATTTCCTTGTTTGCAGAGGCAACTGCCCTGATTAGTAAGGTGCTTTTTTTTTCCTTTTTTTTTAAATGGGAGTGCAGATTTCCTTGGAGATAAAAATGCTTTTTCAGTCATCTGTTAACATTTTCCAGGGTTGCTGTGTGTTCCAGTTTCTTGCCTGGTCTTCAAAGTGGATGGCTGGATACTACTATCTGCTCTTGACTCCACTACAGGCTGAAGTAATTTAGAAAGCCCTGTTCACTGAACAGTTAATCCAGAAGGACCTGCTGATTTTTACAAAATATCCAATCCTGGTTTGAGTTTAGCTACCTTTACTTTGTGACTCACTATTGCTCTAACCCATCCACATGGTGCTCATCACATCTACTAACCTCATACAAAAAGTGAGTGCCTAGGGTGGGCATTTTATGCGTATCAGTTGAGTGTGTACCTGCTCAGTTGTGTCCAATTCCCTGCAACCCTGCATACTGTAGCTCAATAGGCTGCTCTATCCATGGAGTTTTCCAAGCAAGAATACTAGAATGGGTTGCCATTTCCTCCTCCAGTGGATCTTTGCTATCCAGGAACTGAATCCACATCTCCTGTGTCTCCTGCATTGCAGGCAAATTCTTTACCACTGAGTTGAGTAAGTCACCATATATCAGGTATGTGAGGACTGCCATTATCCTGGGAAGAACTTTTCCATGCCTTTCAAGGACTAAGATAGATATAAGTATAGAGAGTAGATATAAGTATAGAGAGTAGAGATAAGAATTAGTTCCATAATCAATACAATAAAAGGATATTCTTATATCAAGAGAATGACCAGATAATACTAAATATTCTTAGAAAACAAAAGCACCTACAGCCAAACAAAAAGCATTTATTCTCTCAGCTCTCTGAATGAAGGCAACTTCTTGGACTATGTCAAGGTTGACAGTGGAATGACATGAATTTTTCTGTTGGTGAAGCAAGAAAAGGCCTGCTTTGGAACCTGAAATGATTAAGGAGACTCTGTTCATGACTGCTACAAGGGCCAACTTAGTTCTGCTGGCTTGCAGGTCAAATTACTCCTGGCCTAAGTGAAACCTGTACTAAGTTTACTCTCACATATTTCATCAGCAATATGTTTTCTTACAACCAAGAGGTTGAGGAATGTTACAAAAGTGTTTTTCTGGGAATAGGTCTTGAGACCAAGATCATGGTGTATAAGCTCCTGTAGGCCAAGTTAGCATGTTCTTTGTTTCCTGGGGCTCTGATTTGAATTCCCATGGGATCAAGAAGCGTTTACTTCTTTTGAAATTAGTCTTGATTATAAGGTAGTTACCATCAAAACTATTTGAGTTTGGATGAAAATGGCTTCAGGCATGGTTTTAGACCAGCAGCAGTGGTATGATCTCTGAGTTTGTCAGAAATACCCATTCCTGGGCCTATCCTGAACTTCCTGAATCAAAACTTTGGATGGAGCCCAGGAAACTTTTAGCAAACTTTTAGCAAATTCCCTATGTAGGAGATCAGTTCAGTCGCTCAGTCATGTCTGACTCCTTGCAAATCCATGTACTGCAGCAAGCCAGGCTTCCCTGTCCATCACCAACTCCTGGAGCTTATTCAAACTTATGTCCATCATGTCAGTGATGCCATCCAACCATCTCATCCTCTGTTGTCCCCTTCTCCTTCCGCCTTCAATCTTTCCCAGCATCAGGGTCTTTTCAAATGAGTCAGTTGTTCACATCAGGTGACGAAAGTACTGGAGTTTCAGTTTCAGCATCAGTCTTTCCAATGAATATTCCGGGCTGATTTCCTTTAGGATTGACAGGTTGGATCTCCTTGCAGTCCAAGGGACTCTCAAGAGTCTTCTCCAACACCACTGTTCAAAAGCATCAATTCTTTGGTGCTCAGCTTTCTCTATAGTCCAACTCTCACATCCATACATGACTACTGGAAAAACCACAGCTTTGACTAGATGGACCTTTGTTGGCAAGTAATATCTCTGCTTTTTAATATGCTATCTAGGTTGGTCATAGCTTTTCTTCCAAGGAGCAAGTATCTTTTAATTTCATGGCTGCAGTCACCATTTGCGGTGATTTTGGAGCCCCGAAATATAAAGTCTCTCACTGTTTCCATTGTTTCCCCATCTATTTGCCATGAAGTGATGGGACTGGATGTAGGAGATGGAACAAGCTAATGTCTGAGCTGTAGCACACTGAGGCTTGAGAACCACTGGAATTAAAGCACATCTTTTAGTCTGTTCCTTAAGGTGGCTCCTTTTATTTCTCTTCTTCTCCCTTTGAAACTCTATCTGCTGCTGCAAGCATGCCTACTGGAATAAAGATACTCTGTCTTTAAACAAGATTAGTTCTTTAATCTTTTTTCAGATCATTCTAGGTAGCCTGTGGTAATTAACCTTGTAGCTAGGTTTGAATGGGTGGCACCCAGGGTTCAGGTTCTCCAGCAGTTGAGGAACAATTTAGAGTTCAGTGTTTTGGAGGTTCCTTGTTTATGGCTCCCCTCACTGTTTATGTAGATCCACAAAAGAGGTCAATGTTCAATGTGGAAATCTAGAATTAACCACGTTTATAGGATAAAGCCTCAAGGTTTTGGAGTCTAAAGGCTTTCCAGTTCAGAAGCTCACCTCTACCACTTATTTATATAACCTCGGGCAAGTTTGGACCTCAGTTTACTTATTCATAAAATAGTAGATAAAACACCCACTTCATAGAATGAGGAAGTTAAATACTGTGTGTAAAATGTTTACTGCAGTTCCTGGCATATAGTAAACTTCATTAAACGTTGGCCATCAACATCTTTCTTTTTCCTTTATATTTTACTTTGGATACCCTCTATTTCCTTTTCCCATGAGAATAAAAGGATTTTTTTTTTGAAAGCCCACTTTAAGCGATATACAGTGAAAGTGGGTTAAGATCGAGGAGAGGCAAGAAGGGAGAGAGTGTGTGGAGAGAAAAGGGAGAGAAAGCAAGAACGCTGCTGATAGGCGGGACCAGCTGAGATGGAGATAAACCCTAGTGAGAAATGGGGCTGGGAGCGGGAAGAAGAGAGAGAGACATGGCCTTCCAAGGAGCAGATATCGTTTTAAGCTGGCTGGACAGAAAAATGTCCCCATAAAGGAGCCATGCCTGAAATAAGGGGTGTAGCCGTAGCAGGACGGGCGAGTGAGGGAGGAGGAAAAGCTCGGTCGAAACCGATAGCAAAAAAAAGACCAGAGTTGAGCGCCTCGGGGGTGGGGCCAGGGCTGGGTGGAGGCGGGGCGGGAGAGGGAGGGGCGTGGTTGGGACCAGAGGGCGGAGTCCCGAGAAGAGACGGCGGGGGAAGCCGCAGAGAGGAAGGTGGGCGGGGAGGTGGGATGGGCGGTGAAGAGACCCGGCCCTGCAGAGGAGGCGGGCTGAGACGTGCCGGGGATGAGAAGGGGCCGGAAGGGGGTGGCCGCCGGTCCGGCCCCGCCCCGGGGCCGCCTCCCCGCGGGTTCCGTTGGCTGTGGCGGCAGCTGAAGCTGTGGCGGCGGGGGCCGCGGGGCGGGCGTAAGATGGCGACAGCGGCGGCGGGAGCTCTGGGCCTGTTGTGGGGCTGGCTGTGGAGCGAGCGCTTCTGGCTGCCCCAGAACGTGAGCTGGGCCGACTTCGAGGGGCAGGGCGACGATTACGGCTACCCGCGGGCCCGGCACATCCTCTCGGTGTTCCCGCTGGCGGCGGGAGTGTTCTCCGTGAGGCTGCTCTTCGAGCGGTGAGAGCCCGCGGGCGAGCGGTGCAAAGGGCCGGGGGCGCGGGCTGGTGAAGCAGTCCAGGGCGAAAGACCGAGGTCCGGGACCGGAAGACGAATTGCAGGGAAAGCCCGGAAGCAGGGGCCTGGGAGAGTCCGGGCCGCGCGGGAGATGCTTGGAGGGTGGCCGCGGTGGTCGTGGAGCCTAGGTAAAGACTTGGGGCTTAGACATTAAAAGGGTGCGAGTCTCAGGGGACGCTGGACCCATTCAGATTTAGACCCCGGAGGTCATTGGGGGGGGTGTCTCCTAGGCCTCTCCCCAACCTTCAAGGATTCTGCAGACCAGGAAACAGGTTGACTGTGGGCTGCGACCGAGAACCCGAGGCGGGAAACAAGAAAGGGCTAAGAGAACCAGAACTAGTTGGGGCCGTCAAGAGCCAAGCTGAAAGGAGCAGGTTCATGGGAAGCTAAGATTTGCGAGGCACTTTAGTTTCTGGGAGTTGAGAGGCACAGGATTAGTTAGGCCCTAAGCCTTGGTTCGTCAACTCATGGACGTGTGTGTGTGTGTGTGTGTGTGTGTGTGTTTGTGTGTGTGTATTTCAGTAAAGTTGTGCCAGAGCTCGTAAGAGTAGAAATCTGGCAGGGTGTGGTGGAGCCTGAGGCTTCCAGAGCACGAAAAGATGTCAAATGAGTTGCAGAACGAGCCTTGGAGACCTGAAATGGAAGGAGGAGTGATAAAACTGAAGAGATGACAGCCTTAGGGCTTATAAGACTGTTGTGTTGAGCCAGCTTCTCAGCGACCATGTGTTCTTGACAAAAGTGTTTTCACTTTTCTTTGAGTGAGTGGCTCCTGTCTGCTAAGATAAAGATACTCACTGAGGACTTGATGTGGTGGTGATTTTACAGTGTGAACTTGTAGCAATAGGTGATTTTGACCAAGTCTACTCACCCCCTGGAAGGATGACTTCTTTATGCATAGGTCTCGGGTAATGAGGGTGGAACTTTGACATCTTGCCTTCTTTTGGCCAGTATCTAGAGCAAAAATGCCCTTTCGAGGATGGGCATATATTGCAGATAGACTACTCTGTTACTGTCTGAAAAATTAATAGTAATCTGTTTTGGATTACTTCTTTGCCCACTATTTCTGACACAAAAATGTGTTATGTGTTGCCCACCATTCATCCATTTATTCACAGTGTTTATGTATTTTCATCAGAGTGCTCTACCAAAGGTTCAAGTGTAAAAATAAAGATGCTTTTAAATGAAGCAAATGAAACCAAAATAACCAAATGCCTTTTGTGGGTCCTCGGGAACTTAGCATTGCAGTTCTTTAAGTATAGTCATAATATTAAGTGTTCCTGAGGTGGAGGCACAAACCACTTGTCCCTCTTGGGAGTAAACTAGGTCCAGGTACCTTAGCACCTGTGTATGAGAACTAAAAAAAAGAGAAAGGATAATGACTGAAAAGGAGATACACAGTTCAGGAAAGAAAAAAAAAGTTCATCATCCTAGGCAAAAGATTCTCTGCTTTTCATATAAATGTTTAACAATATGGAAGTTTTCCCCAGGTTAGTGGTAAGAGGAGATAACTTGTTGCTTATAAACACTTATTTTATATAAACTTGCATATATTTTCAGATTTCCAAAGAGTTCCCCCAGGTGACTGTGAAGACTTACATATCCCCTGGCACAGCCACTGGAAAGGATCCTTTTTACCTGCGGGAATTCTATCCGAATGTTTCTATGGTGCTCCAGCGTCAGGGGAGAAGGGATGGGTGGGAATACTGATGTGAAAGCATTCTAGTATGATATTTCTTGGACAGTAAGAATGGGTACCTTGTTCATCTCATATTTGATCTTAGGAAAGTTTAACCCTAGCTGCAGTCTTGCTATTTTGTTTCTCTTTAAGATCAAACCACTTTAGTCAGCAGTAGAATTTACAGCTGAAATATTGGTTCAGTTAGTCTCTTTCCTACGTTTTCTTCTTTCCCAAGTCCTAACTGCTGCTGCTGCTGCTAAGTCGCTTCAGTCGTGTCCGACTCTGTGCGACCCCATAGACCGCAGCCCACCAGGCTCCCCCGTCCCTGGGATTCTCCAGGCAAGAACACTGGAGTGGGTTGCCATTTCCTTCTCCCAAGTCCTAACTACTTAGTTTCTAAAAATGATTCATATGATAACCATAGGCTGTAAGAGCTAGAACTCCAGCTTCCTTTTACATAAACAGTAAACTTAAGGCTTAGAAACATTTTCAGCTTTTCACATGTTGCATACTCACCTGAAGGAGGAGGTAGAATCAAGATACAGATTGTTTTCCTCAGCCCCGTTCTCCTTCCACTGTACGATATGGCCACTTCTCCCATTCCTTAAACTTCCCTTCAAGAATTAAGATTTAATACTGCTGTTCCTAGTATTCTAGGATTTGGAGAACAGATCCATGTTCATCTTATTCTTGGTTACTTAATATAATGTGTTTGACTTGAACTTTGCATTTGTTGCTTCAAATTGTCCTGCATATTTTAATGTCTTACACTATGCCCTTTGATAAATTATCTCTGTGTTTTAAGAATATCCTAAAGAATAAATAGAGTTTACAGTTTATTCTTACTTTTTCTTCTCCTCAGCCACACAGAGCATTTATTTTTTTAAGTTCCCATTTTCCCTGGAGAGCTGCAACCTCATCTGATAGGGATGATTTGAAAGCCACCTGACCATAAATAAATATATCTAGCTATTTCACTAAAGAACTGCAGATGGTAGATTATGTCCTACCCAAGAATAGAGGCTCTCCTTTGTGGGCCTCTGCTGAGTGGTTGCATTGTGGTGGCTTGCACCTTGCAAAATACCTTAGATGTGGTCAGTAAATACTGATTGAATGTTTGAGAAGGATCCACCCTTGCCTACTCAAATACCCAGAGGAGTAAACAGAATCTAGATCTTCAGCATGCAGTAGATGATTTCCTTAGTTAAATTTCACCATACTGTGTTTGCATGTTATGCACCTTTCTCCAGTTTCTTTTTTCTCCCCACTACCCATGCACACACTCATGCCACCCTCTTATCCTATCAAAAGAGAGATAAGAAACTCTTCCACCTGTTGTTTAAAACTTGTTATGATATTAATGACTGAGACTTGAGAGAATGAATAGTCCAAGCTAGGTCTGGCGTGTCTTAAATTGGACCTTAAAGGTAAAGTTGTTTGAAATTTAATGTCTACCTAGTCCCTGAGCACTTATTCCTTGGCATCAAATATGAGCTTGAGACTTAATATTGATACCATCAGAGCTACATAGGCTCATTTATTTTGAATATTGTATTGGCTTTATGTTGCCAGGAGAAAATTGTTTTGTAAATTATACAGGAGATATATTATACCTCTCCTTGCTGCTCATTCATTATTCCAATCCCCTTTACTGTCATTACCTCCAAGGCAGCCTCACTGGCATATCTAAGGAGCTTTCTCGATACCATTCTCTGGCATAGGGCACTAAACAGACTCACGTATTGGCCTATCTTGTAACTAGAAACAAAAGCAGTGACTCGTGTGTATGTGTGTATGCATGCACGTGTGTGTACACATTTCTTAACGACTCATTTCATCTTCCTCTTATAAGTCTGACTACCTCTGCTGCATGCTGCCTTTTTTTCTTTTTCTTTCCCCCATTCTTCCCCACTTCCTTTGAGTGGAGGAAGGACTTCTCCTCTTTCTGACAGACCAGCTGCCCTCCTCCTAGGTCCATGTCATGTTCCAACATTGCGATCCAGAATTAGTTGGTCCTCCAGACTGGAGAGGTACTTTGGGAAGAATGGATACAGCTGCTGGCTAGGTTGTAAGGGAGACTTCCCTTTCCACTGCATCCCTAAAGGTATATCACAGAGTTGAATCAGGTTTGCAGATCCAGCAGAGTGAGATTGAGAAAGCCGACCATGTAACTCTGCCCTTATCTGAGAATCCGCCTCTCACTAAGCTCCAGATAATCAGAAACCTTTCTCTCTTGGAAGACTTTCCCCAGCCCTTTCTGTGCAGTGGGTGTTGAAGTTCTGCAGACAACCCTGAATACTGTCACGTCTAAGGTCAGGTTCCTGGCGACAATATATGTGTCTCAGAAAAGAAACATGTCAGATATTTTTGCTTTAGCCACTTTGTGAGTCAGAAAACTAGGGTCTCCTAGATGGGTAGAGAAGAAATTAATGAAGAGGAGGCATCAAGGGAAGTCTGTACCTTTCTTCTAGAGTGGGAAAGGGAGATTCACGTATTTTGACTTCCTCATCAGAAATAGTTTTAGGCTGATAAAGCTGCCTTCTAAAGAATTCACTGAGTTTTGGGCTCTTGTACTTAAATCTACTCCTACTTTATCTTTGGGAAAGTTAATTGGGATGTTACTGCAAAAGGAGTTAACCATAGTCACTTTTAACTAACCAAAAAAAATCTGAAACCAATTTTCCTAGATACAAAGGCAGTTTTCCTAGATATGAAGAATTCTCTGTGAATTATCTACTGCTGTGGTTTCCAGTATAGTAGCCACCAGCTAGTACAATAGCTACTAGCTTTGGGGGCTTTCAGATGCAACTGGTCAGCATTAAGATGTGATCTAATTGTAAAATACACACCAAATTTTGAAGATTTAGTGCAGGAAAAAAAAGAATGTAAAATATCTCAGTTTTTAACACTGATTGCATATTGACATGATCATATTTTGGATATACTGAGTTAAACAAAGTATATTTTCAAAATTAATTTCACCCGTTTCTTTTTTACTTTTTTAAAAGTGGCTGTTAGAAGATTTTAAATTATTTATGTATGTGGCTCACATTATTTCTGTTGACCAGTGTTGATGATAGTGATTCAAACAAGTATTAATAACTGAGAAGAGAATTTTAATATAGATTGACATTTGATTCAGTTTTCTAGCATCAGAAGGTGATTTGTCCTGAGTTTATTGGGCCAGGCTTAAACAATGGGGCATTCTAAAAAAAAAAAAATAGTAATAATGGGATTTTTTTTTTTAATGTAAATCTTTTTCTGA